CATTCCTGCCCAATCTTGAAATAATTTCTCTGCACTTAGAAGGGCACACTATTTCAGATTTGAGCATGTTACTCTTAAATATAACGTTGCTATCTGTTGCCACTTTCAGTATACCCCAGGAATGTACTTTCTTCCTTTTCTCTGCTGTGTGATGATGCTGCCACTGTGCTAAGGGCTTCATTATTGCAAGTTCAGCCCAGTAGCCCATAAAGGCAGTTACCAAGGCATGTCTTGTTTTTTAATGTTTGCAGCCGTCTGATCGTGTTGTTACAGCAGTTTCTGCCTTGTGCTTCTGGCATACACTGCTTGTGTGCAAGAGTTGGCAGGATATTTCATCCTTAGTTAGCATATTCTGTATTGACCCAGCCTTGTCTTACAAATATACTACAAGTATTTTTTTTTTTTTTTTATTTCTTCTAAAACTCTGGCTCTTGCTGGAATGAGGATACCAGGTTAAGTGGCCTGCCTTGACATTTATTAAACTGATTCCCCGCTTGTACCCTCTGCTTTGACATCATTCTGGGTTGCCTTTATAGTCCTCAACAAGCTAACTGCACTTCTGAGCATTTCTGTTTAAAAATGCTTGAACATTCATTCCAACAATGAGTCATTAAACCAAAAATATTTCTGTTTTTACTGTAAATCCTAACCATAAACAAAGCCATGCATGGAATCAATGATACAGTGTTATGTGTGTCACAGCCCATTCTGTACCCACAGAATTGAGTCTGGAGGCTGTAGGATTTGGGGATTTGTATATTCTAATCAGAGTTTGGCACAGGACAGTTCACAGTACAGAAAGAAGGTGGGTCAGATTAGCAAGAGAATGGCACCCGTGTGTGCACAGCTTTCAAGGAAATAAGATTTAAATGCTAAAGAAACAACTGCCATTCTGGGTTTGTAATTGGCCGTCTGTTCTTCGGGAATTTTTCCAGACCCTGAAAGGGATTAAACCTCTCGTGGTTAAAAATGACAAATCAGGTACAGCTGACTTACCTGATTTCTTCCTCTACTGTCAGTTGATCACATTATGCCTCCTGCTTTGTCTTCCCTTTCAGAACAGACGCCTCTCTGTAGAGCTTAAAAAATAAATACTGGTGTACCTCCCTTGTGAAAAATGTTATCTTGCTGAATGGGATGAAGGAGGAACGGAATTTCTTTACTTTCCCAGAGAGACAAAACTGGGAGATGTGAAGGAAGCTACATAGTTCAGTAGAGGGCAGAGGTGGTATGAGGAGGAGGGCAATTATGAGAGGTCAGTGTCCCTCTTGGATCTGGAAAAGGAAATTAGAGTGGAAACATTCAGAGTAGCTGTAACAGAAGTCGAGAGGCAACCTGCTGCTTTGGTGGATGCTTGGAGTGTTACCCTCCAGACAGATGCTACTATTTAAAATTTGTCCTATGTCTTTCTAGGTAGTATGTGATCTCGTGCTCATTCACCTGCTTGGAACATTTTGCAGTGCTAGGGTTGCAAGCATTTGATACTATTTTCCTCTCCCTGCCTATTTCTAAGACTATGACACCTTTTTCCTCATGATGTCCCCACTGGAGTTTGGTAGTAATTCCTTTTATGCTGCAAAAGTTGTGTGCTGTGCTTTTGACTTCAGGGGAGGCTACTTTTTTAATAGAAACTTAAGAGTTGTGTCCACACGTGTGTCCAGTGATGGAGTGCTGTACCAGACAGCACATGGTTTTCCAGGTCTGAGAGAAAGCACCAATGAGCCTTTTCCTATTAAGGTCACTATTAGGAACCATCAACTGAAAGAGGATATAGGTAAATAATTGACAATGTGTGAAATAAAAAAATAGTCTTTAAATAGAAAGGATCTAGGTAAACCAGAGCAGAACACACAACCACAATGTGTTGCTGTGATCAGCAATCTCGTGGGATTTCAGAGAAAACTAGATATTTGATAGTTGTTGAGAGCATCTGTAATTTCTATATAGCTATGTAAAATTATGTATCTATTATAAAATTATAATACATGTGGATGCTATGATTTTGCTATTTATATTATAATTTGCTCTAAGTCTGTATGCTTCAAGGCATTGGGATTGGGAAGATCTTTCTGTAGTGAACAGAAACACTGTAATGGATGCTTAGACTGCTGCTGAGAGTGTCCTGGCACCTTCTTTGAAACAGTGAGTACGGTTGATGGTGACAGGATGCTATCTATGGCAGGAGTCTTGCTCAGTCTGCTAGTTCCTATAGAATTTTTGGATTATCATAATGAATACAAAATCCATTTTATAACATCCATAGCATTTTGTTCAAACCTCTCCCTGTCACCAAGCATGAGAGGACTTTTTAATCTGGTCAGATCTTAAAGTTCTTGTTGATAGAAGTTGCTTTTTATGGAAGTATGATTTTTTTCCATGCTCATTATAGTCTATGGGAGAGTAAAGGCAAGGTAGCTTATTCTGGCTCTGATGACCACAGCAGTCCTGTGGACCACAGGATAGTGAGGTTGAGCCTTTCTTTAGACAAGCTTGGAGAAAGAGGAGAGCATCTCTGTAGGATTATTTAACTAGGAGAAGAGGAAGGAAGCAAAAGGCATGTGACAGTAGTGATGGGAATAGATGAAGAATGAGCGTGTGAGGGCTTGAAGAGGGAAGAAGAATGTGTTAAATCTGTTCTTTCACAAAATTAAAAAAAAGATGAAGCCAAGCGAGAAGGGAAGAATGAAATTACAAACAAGTGAATGTAAATGACAGAAAAGATTGTAGACGAATTGAAGGACAGTACAGAGCGCAGGCTCAGAAAAGATCACATGGAAAAGAAGGGAAATAAACCTAACCTTGACATCAGTGAAATATTAACCAGACAGACAGGGAAGAAAAGTGGCTGTTGGAGGAAGGGCAAAGGGCAGACGATTCAATTCACCTGACCACAGACATCTACAATGCAGTTGTTTAAATGAGAGCTGCCTGTCTAGAGTTGTTTGCAGTCAATGGAGAGAAATAGGCTCTTTTAGGGCTCAGCTGGTGTAGCTCAGGTGACCACCTCAGGAGGGGGGTGCATTTTGCCCTGGAAGTGGTTTTCTTTTCACAAACTGAAAAGTGGACCTACACCTGTAGTGGACAGTGTTTAAAGCGCGAGATGCCTCCATGGGAAGCCAAATAAGGTGTATTTTCTCCAAGAGGGGAGAAAAAACAACTGGAACAAATTCCTTTTGTATGGCTTTGCAGAAACAAGTGTGAAGGGTTCTGAAGCAGCCCCGTAGGTCACCATATAGGAATCAGTTCCTGTGTTGTATGACATAAAAGCCCATCTGTCCCAGAATCCATCTGGCCCAGTGTCTGGTGTGCTAAGTGCCTGTGGAAGGAGTTCAGGAAGCATGCTGTTCAAGCTCTGAAAGTGACTGGGCTCCCAGAGCTGAAGCTGCATCCCCAAACTTACCATCTTTAATAGTCACCAGTGTACTATCTTCCAGGAGTTTCTCTGATCCCTTTGGGAATTGGTTTGTCCTTCCACCACCCAAAATATGACACGGTTTGTCTACATGTTGTGTGTTAAAAAAGTAAATTTTAAAAAGCCTTCCTTTGGATTGCTTTAAATGCACTTCTCTTTGGCCTCAAGTCTCTGAACTAAAATTCATTCAACTGTCTTCAGTGCCACCCCTTCACATGGGGGTCTTGTATTTTTTATCTCCACTGGAGTGATGTCTACACTTGATACAGTCATACATTCATTTGCTAGTATTTTACTGGCTGAAGTCTAAATCCTTTGAATTTGCTCTGGTCCCATGGTTGTTTAGTTTCATATCTAATTTTTCTAATCCTAGAAGTGTCTGTGCTGCCAAAACTAGCCCTGGTTTGAATGTCTGGAAATGCGTAGTGCTGCGTGTTTCATCCCTGTGTCAGCCTGGAAAGCCGCCAGGCTCGCTGGCCCCGGAGGGGCTTCTGAGTACTTCATATACTTAGGGCTGTATTCTGCTTTCTGTATTTCTGCCAGTGGATATTTTCCTATTGAGTGTGGTGACAGCAGCACTGGGTTGGAAGGAAACAAAACACTCGGAGATGCTGGAACTGTACTTTTAAATAAATGACTTAAAATCATCAGAAGATCCCTGAAGTCAATCAGTGTTGGCATTTCCTGTTTGTTTTCTCTTCTAGGAGAAGAAGATTTTTCAGATTCCTTGGATGCATGCTGCAAGACATGGGTGGGATGTTGAAAAAGATGCTCCCTTATTTAGGAACTGGGCAATTCACACAGGTATTGGATCTCTCTTTCTGCAGGACAGATTTTCACACTGTTTTCACTTCTAAAGCTACATTTTCCTTCTTTCTTGTCTTTGCTTTCACTAACACAGAGAATGAATTTAAGTTTATAGATTTGTGGGAGGCTAAGTGCTTTTTCAAGGCCTGTGATACTTTCCTGCTTTACTGAAGTACCATAAGTCATTTGCATTGAGCAACAAAGTAAAATTTAATTGATTTAAAGGTTAACAAGATTAGGTTCAAAATTGTCAGGGGTAGAGCACACTCAGCACTTTGTAGACTCGGGCCCTTAGGCTTTTTATGCCTTTCTGTGGATTTGAGCCAGGCATAATAAAGGTAAATGCTATGCAAGCTTTTCCACATTGTTGTGGAGTCACATCTGATCTGCAGGGCCCTGGGTCTTCCTTGAGCAGAAGCTGTTCATCATGTGTTCTAGAAATGTGTGTGGGAGTGAGATGACAACGCTCCTCACAACCTCAGCTGTTGCTTGAATGCTTCTCATGGGAACAGAAGATGATACCTGGAAGTTAACCTACACTGTTGTCAATTCACCTTAGGTTTTCAGTTCCCCATCCACTGTGCCTGACTCTCTTTTCTTGCTTAGGAAAGTACCAGTCGGGAGTAGATAAACCCGATCCAAAGACATGGAAGGCAAACTTCCGTTGTGCTATGAACTCCCTGCCTGACATAGAAGAAGTGAAGGACAAAAGTATCAAGAAAGGAAACAATGCCTTCAGGGTGTACCGGATGTTGCCATTATCTGAAAGACCTTCGAAAAAAGGTAGAGGGGAGAGCTTGTCAACATGAAAATGGTGTTGGGGGCATGGCTGTTATTTTGGGGCCCACAACGTGTGCCAGTTCTACTTCTGCTGTGAAGCTGGATGGGTGTTTTTATCCAGATCTTCCCCAGAGATGTATGAAAAATGCGTTAAGAGTTGAATGTGTGAATTTTGAAAATTTGTATGAAAACTTCACTTAAGAGAACAAGCCTCCTGGAGAGGGGATCAACAAGATATGATACCCCCAAGCTGGTGATGTGTGTAAGTTGTGTTAGTTCTGTTAAAGCTGTTGGTGTTCTCTTCAGATGCTAGTCCTAGGTCTCCTTCATGGACGATGATTAGGGGGATATTAGAGATCAATGTGTTTAGCTCAGTAAGACTCATTCAGAATACAGTGGCAGACATTTTGGTATCTTCCTTCCAGCAAGGGCAGAAATAAACTGGCATTCTGTTGAACTGAGTGGAGCAGTACAACTCTCGCCTCAGAGCATTAAACTGTGAAAACACTTTGGTAGTTACATAGTTATGCTAGGCCATGAAAAACCAGCCACCACAGCATGATAATGGTGAAATGGAAAACTATGTTTGGATCCCCAAATTTAGGGATGAGATCTCCCACCTGCTGGGAGAGTACCTAACCACCAAGTCAATTTCATAAGTATTTGGTTTCTTATGGAGTAGAAACATTGGCTTCTTTATGGCTCATTGGCTTCCTTATGGCTTCATTACTGGTTTATGGAGCAGAACAATGGCTTCCTTAGTCCTCTGGTGTCTAGGAGTTTTGGACAAAAAGATAACCTGCAAACCAAATGTACAATGTTCCTCCAAAATCCAGTTCAATTCACCTGTAGCTCAGTCTACTATTTTCGTAAATCGAGAAGTGAACGGCACATCTTCAGTTTCAGGTTAGTGTGACTGGAAATTATGAACTCTGGCGTTTTTTGGGGAAGAATCTTACTGTGAAAGGGACATAAATCTGCAAAAAGTAGCACATCTGCTTTGAAATTGTTTCCAGTCTCTTCTCAGTGGTGTATTTTGTAGGTTCAGGCACATTTCCGTGAAGGGTGACCTGTCCCATTGTGGTACATTCCTTTCATAGCTCTAAGAACTAGAAAAGTTCATCATGAAAGCTGAGATTCTGGAGATGGGGGCTGTAGCAGGAGAGGATTCTGCAGCCAGTCCAGTAACTGTTAAACTCAGAGGTATTTTGGGCCCTTTATATATTCTCACATGCCCTTGCTACGTGATGCGTGGCTAAATTAATGTGTGAGTGAGAAAAAAAGAAACTGGCTGCAAACTTTTCTAATTCTCAGTGCTAGCTTGTAGTAGAGATGGGAGAAATTCCTGGGACGCGTCTGTGCAAACAGTGGAGTAGAGCTGAGCTTGCAGCAGCCAGTCTGACCTTCCATGTCAGGCTTTTGTCAGGTCAGAGCAGGAGGAGCAGCACTGGGGTCTGCCAAGGCACATGACATTTCAGGAGCATTATGTGCTGTGAGGGTTTCAGGATTCTCAAGTTTGATGTGATTGCATAAACAACTTTTGCACGAGTTATGGTTCATATTTGATAGTTGTTCAGGTTGCAACTACTTACAAAAATATTTGTTGAAGTTTATTGTGATCTTAAATCTATCTCCCTTTCCTAGAAGGTGCTGCCATTTTGAGGCATGTTTTGGGGCTGTTTCTTTCACACTGTATGTGTGAAGGGTAACTCTTGGCACACAGGACTTTTAAGAAATCTTCCTTTTGTTGTTGCAGGGAAAAAAACAAAGTCCGAGAAGGATGACAAATTCAAACAAATTAAGGTAGGAAGTGACTGTTTAATAGTGTGAGAGCTTGTGAAAACAATTGGTTGCAAATTTTTTTAATAGCTCCAATAGTATATTGTGGTGGATATTTGCAAATCTCTCATGCTTGTGGTTTGGTTAAGTAGCTAGAGTTACATGGGATATTTGGGTTTTTTTTTAAAAAACGTGGAGGCTGTTAGAGTCACGGCTGACATCATCAGCTGACAGAGCCCTTGTGTTACAGTGCCTGGAGGTTGGAAAACTGGCAGCTTTGGCAACACGTTTGCCTTTTGTTTGTGTAAGTAGAAATGCAGTAATTGTGGAAGGAATGCTTCCGAACAGCAGAGGTACCTTCTGGAGCAACTAACGCCTGTGCGTAAAGCATTGGAAATTAACTGTCGTCCAGGCAAGGGGAAGGGTTCTGTCAAAGCTACACCTTCTGCTTGTGTTCTGTCAGGTAGAGACCTCAACTGTAAAGCTCTTCGGTCACTGCTTGAGGTCTCTACTTGTTCAGGGCACGGGCCCAGGCAGATGTCAGCTTTCCCTACGGAGCATGGTGTTTCCCAGCTGTCGCGTTCCTGCTGCCTGCCTCTGCCGGGTGCTCAGTGTTACATACTGCCAGGATATGGTCCACCTGCAGGTTTTATTCAAAAAACAAAGCTCAGAGGTTTCAGATCTTCACCCTTCAGATAAGTTTGTGTTCTTGGGTTGCACATGGCAGCCATGTCTGCAGCAGAGAGGCAGCTCGGTCCCCTGCTGCTCACTTGTGAAGGGCTTTGCCACCCATGCCTGGGCACAAGTTCTGCACCCGCTGGCCAGAAGATGCTCTGGGCCAAGTGAAGTCAGAGGCCAGGGAAAACTCCTCCACTGAATTCAAGTTTGGAAGGCAGATGCTGTCTTGGCAGTTGTGACTTGTGGAGTTGCGTGTCAGAATACTGTGATTTTTAAATTGTCTTAAAGGAATCACTTTTTAACCATCCTATCTGGATTACTCGGCCATGTATCTGCTATAACATGGCTTTGACAGTAACCTGTGTTCAGGGGGAACCAGTAGACTTTGATCATAGCAGAGCATGTGATGCCTGCCAAAGCTGGCAGCAGCACTTTGCTGTTCTCCTTCTTTGTAATCTTTCTTTCAGTCAAAATTTTAAATGCCTGTAAAGCAGGAGAGGTGCTTGAACAATCTCATCCTCTTCATTAAGATTAATCTCACGAGCAGTTGTTGCTGAGGGAGGCCCAATGGTGCATGGCAGGTTGATACACGTGGCATTTTGCCTGGGGGTAGGTGCTGGTGGGGCAATGCTCGCAGCTTTTGGGAGCACTTTGCTGAAGCTTGGTTGCCCTGAGCTGCACAGAAGAGTTAAGCCAGGTGACACAGGAGCAGCGAGCTGCTGGCTGTGCCTCCAACACATAAAAATACCAGCAAGCATGCAGCTCACCAGCCACCAACTGTGGTATGGCCACATAGCTCTTCTAGGCTTTGAGTTTGGGCCAGGTAGTGCTCCTGTCTGTTCCCCCTTTTTCTGACAAACACGTATGCAAGCTGGCCTCCAGATATGCTTGGATTTTAAAATAGATCTTCCTTCCACACTCAGTAACTGTTAGATTTTGAAGACTATAATAGTGGAGAAGGGTAGTGGATGAATGAATGCAAATTCATGTTTCTGAGCAGTGAAAGCTGCTTATAACTGCTTTGATGGGTGATGTGAATTCCTGAACCTTGCAGTCACCCTGAAAACTTCTCTGATGGCAGTGAGTGGGAGACAGCTCCACAGTCTGCCTCGTAACTGCAGTGGGGTAATACCAGCAAGAGAGAAGCTGATTATCTGAGTGCAGGTTTATGAAGGCACTTCAGCATAGCAAGACTTTCACATTGAGCTTCCCCCTGTTGCCACTGCTAGACCCTCTGGGCACCCACAGGAACCACTGGTGGGGATGAAGTGCCCTGCTAGACCTGGCTGAGCTTGAGCAGGGTGCTCAGGGCACTCACTGCTTGTCCCTGTAGATGTGAGAGACTGCCCTTTACCAAATCCCTGCTCCATGTCAGGCAAGGGGGGCTTTGAGCAGGTCTCCCACCTTGCAGATATGTCTCCTACCACCGGCCTTTTGGGCAAACGGTGCCTAAACCCCATTAGAAAATGAATTCTCAGCAATGGGAAGAAGCCCTAAGTGTCTGAGTAGTCCAGATAAAAACAGACTCTCTCCTAGACTGAACTGCCTGCCTGGGGCTTAATTTCTACTTTGTCATAGATTCTTTTGACTATGCGGGCAGCTCCCCATTGAGATGTTTTTTAAACTATTATTTTTTAAAATTTTAAGTGACACTTGCCCCCATGTATTTAGCTTAGGCTAGATGTCTGGCCACTGAAAATTTAGGTGACTTAGCACCAACTGTGCCAGTGTCCAAGTTCCTTTGGATTCTGTCATCTGAATTCCAAGGTGCGTATTTGTTTCTGCAGCTCAAAAGTGGCTACTGAATAAAATTGTCTGTAACCAAGCCTCAGTAAAGCTGCACAAGGTGCTGCATGGGCAGCGTTCCATGGGGGCTGGTGAGCTTGCTGGGACATTACAAAACACCAGGGGCTCAGGTCTCCAGTGTGCAAACCTAACCTGTTTCTGCAGTTGTGATCCTCAGTGACTCAAGAGCAGCTAATTTTGTCTCTGCAGGTCTTTGACCTGTGGATCAACATGACCAGTGCAGCTCGTCAAAGACCGAGTTGCCATTCACACTAACTGTACACCCTTCTGATGTGCAGAGGGGCCTTGGAACAGGGTGCATGTTTGCCTCACTTAATGGCTGTGAAAGTGCAGACCTGTGCCAGAGTGGCAGCTCTTTTGAATGGATCACAATTGCAGCAGGTGGCATCCAGGAAGGACCTGACACACTGTCCCTGGTTTTCTGTCCCCGTGGTAACAGTTCACACAGTTAATAATCTGAAAGGCTGGCACCACAAGTGTTGAGGCTCACCTTTGTCCTGCTCTTGCTGAAAGGCTTTAGAGCAGTGAAAATGAGCATGGCATGGCACTAGATACAACTCTGCACCCCTCTGCAGGTGTCTCTGGGTCAGCAGCAAGGTAGAACATCCCTCACAGGGCTGTCATGGCCAGGTCACAGTAAGAGCAGAAGACTAGAAAAGTTAGATTTTGTAACTGATAACTCCATAAAGCCAATACCAGTGTGGAAGCTGAACCTGTAGGTAATCCTTTAAATGTGTTCATAGCTTTTTAAAGAAATTCTGAGTTTATGGAATTAAACTTTTTGGTGTCTGCTCTGAGGGGAGATTAATCTAAAGATTCCCACTTGAGTGTACCAAACCTACAGAGATGCAGCTTGTGGGAAGCTCAGTCTGTGTGGAACAGGTGGTGTTTTCCCAATGTTATTGCCCTGTGGTAATGTTTATGATGTGATCTAAAAGGCTATATTTAGTGTAAACAGTTTGGTTTGCTTTCAGGCTTGCTACAGAGGAAAATTAAGTCTAGAATTTAGTAATTGCTGTACAGAAGTTAAGGCTTCCTTTCAGAGAGTGCTAAGAGATACAGTGTGTTTGGAAGGAAATGAGGATGAATATTAAATAGAGCACCGTTTTAAAGCAATGTTTCTTCCTTGTTTGTTCCAAATGTTAATCTCTTGTAGTAAATAGCACACTAATTTCTTGCTCTCTGAAGGCTTACTCTAAATCTGAAAATTAAAAATAGCTGTAATTTCAAAGCAGAAGATTTGGAAATTAAGTACTCTCTGGCTTCTCTGAGAACCAAAATATTCATTCTAAGATTGCATCTAGCAGAGAGCAGGGAGTGTATGGCAGGGAGAAGCAATACGATTTATTACTGCTTCAGAACAAAGAGATGAACTGAGTCCAAGCTCCTAAAATAAATCAAACCTGACCCAACTGTACTGTTTTCATTCTAGCAAGAGCCAGTTGAATCATCTTTTGGGATTAATGGTCTAAGTGATGTCACTTCTGACTATTTCCTGTCCTCCACTATAAAAAATGAAGTTGACAGTACAGTGAACTTTGTAGGTAAGTACTGCTGTGGGTTTTTGTATATGCTAAGCATACAGGTGACTTCAGAACCCCTTTTGACTCTGCCAAACTCAGCTTTCCATCAGCATTTTGCACTTTGGAGAATGCCACGGTTGAAATCAGGTTAGCCCATTTTTCACTAGCCCAAGCCACACGAGGTCCTGGTTGCATGTCAGCCCCATCACCTTGCAGAGACAGCAGGCAGCACTGTGGTGCTTCCTCTGAAGAAAACACTTACAGACATGCTTGGGTGGCTTTTCCTGACATGAATTTAACTCCACAGGTAGTCCTCAGCTATGAGGAGGCTGTAGCCACTGTCACATGGGAGTTAATCTGCAGTCAGATGGTTTCCCATTGCTCAAAGTAGAGGTTTGCATAGGATAGTGTTTTATTTGAGCATTTAAACCTGCAAACAAAATGGAGGCTCATCTCTCTTTTTACTGACACCTCAGTAGCAGAGTTAGTTCTTAACATCACTGAGCTAACAACGAGGATCAGCAAAGGCTGCATTTAGAAACTGGTACATTAGGAATTAGCTGTCATCTCAACATGGGAATAGTTGGTTCTTGGTACAATAATTGGGCTGTTTTTTGACAGCTCTTTTTTGGCTGAGGTTGTCACTGCAGTGAGGGCTCCTAGAAATGTGACCCATATACCATTTTGTCTAGAATTCCACTTCTACATATGATGAAAGTGTTTGAAAGATATGTTAGTCTTCTGCTTGGAGTGATGGCAGAAATCATGTGCAGTGACTATTTTTGATACCCATTTCTTAGGTCGCAGGGCTTTGCATAATCATTCCCCACAAGTACTTCTGTGGCCAAGGAGTTTGTGAGTAGTTTTCCTCTCTTTATGGCAGTTCGTTTAATCAGCTGTTGCTTTGCAAGAGTGTTAGAACATTGTTGTTCCTCCTGTTAGAGGGGTTTATAACTTGAAGGAATAGCACTGTAGTCCTGCTAACGCTTCCTACTTACTGACTGACTCATAAAAAATTCTGGAACACCCCACAGCCAATATGCAGTCCCAGGGAAGAAACTTGATACACTTCTGCTTTATTTTCCAGTTTTCAAGTCAGTCAGAGATCAATTAACAGCAGTCCCAGTGTTCCCCAAAATCCACTAACATCAGCAAGAGTAATTTTGCTGCACACAGAGTTTTCTACAGTACAGTGTATCCTGAACTCCTGTTTGATTCTATGATGAGATGAAAGCATGTTGCACATTGGAAGATCTCAGTAATTTACAGGACAGGACCGGTAGTGGCATCAACATCTAAGAACAGTCAAAGGTCTGTTGTGGAAACCAAGCAAGAGCTTTGGAGGAACAGAACTGAATTTGCACCTAATGGGCTTTTGTTTTTCTCTGGAGTCACGGAATCCATTTTCGCGTAGGCCAGCAAGGCTTGGGTGGGTAAACTGCCATCCAGTGTTGTTTAAGGAATGGCTTGGGAAGTGTGCTGCTTGTCCAGACCAGAGAGAGAAGTCCTTATTTAGCAGGTTTTTGATGTAAATGGGGAAAAGGGTAAAATAGATCTGTTCTGCAGAAAGGGAAGTCAGCTTGGGGGGAGGAAAGACAAACAACACCTGTGGTGTTTCTGACATGTGTGGAGCTCACAGGAAAGTTGTGGCATATTGCCCAAGCAAGCCGTCATTTTTGCTGTGTAAATTATCTCTTGGGGTGGGTAAGAATTTGTCTGGTATTGAGGAGAAAGATAAAACAGTGCAGATGGCCTGCTCAGACCCTGGCAGGGTTGCACAATGTTGGTTTCTCTCAGATAAAAACTCCGTGTGTGTGCTCTTGCCCACCGCACCCCACTCAAAAAAAAGCTGATTGTTTCAGAACAAGGAAGGGTGAAACACAATGGAAATGAAATACCTGGAACAAAATCCTAGCAATTGTAGTGATGCAACTTTAAAAAGACTACCCACGATGTATGTAATTTTCTTTATGCTGGAGTTATTTAATAAAATACACATCCAGGTTTGAGGGGTTTTCCAGTGATTACCTGGCACTTCACAAAGCAAAATGATATTGGCAGCTTCTCCCTGGGAGAAGACCTGTCACTTTTACAAAAAGTCGTGTTCTAGCCTTGTCTAAAGATAGAAGGGAAGAATGAATTGTTTGTATTTACATGTGCATTCATGTATATTTATGTTAGTTCAGTCAGGAATAGATGCTAACTTTTGTCTTTTTTGAAACGAATAATTAGAATACTTAGATGACTTTAACAGAAGAATTTCAAGATCCACTTGAGGCTTCATTGCCTACATGATTTTCCCATCATGAGTCTAGGAAAAAAAGCACTGTCTGAATTCCTAACAACACAGCACCCTGTTTGTACAGAATTTGTCTGTATGAAGATTTTCTTTTGAAGGTTTATGTTCCAGTAAAAGAATATCTATAGTCCTTCCCTTTCTCTTGGACAACTGTGGATTCAGGTTACCCTTCTTCTTTGTAGCTCTATCCCTGCTAGTGGCTTTCAGCTCAGTGCTGAATTAATGCAGTTGTCATGTGTTCATACTGCTGGGATTGACAGGGGAGTTGTACAAGACAGAGGAGATTGTCTCAAGCAGCTTCAGAGAACTGAGATTCTGGCTTTCGCCATACTTTTGCTTTGCTCAGTAACTTGGTACCTCCGTTTATTCCCCTGTTTCAAAAGAGTGTTGTGTAGTACAGCTAGTGTCTGCAAAGCATTTCAGGACATTGGATGTTAAATATCACATAGCTGGGGGAATAGGAAACCCCTCTGTTAATAACTAGTCAGACTGTAGCATCCTGTCACAGACCTTGGGGATTACAGACTACAGGTACGACTGTGGTTTTCTACATACCACCAATGGCATTGCAAGTGTCACTAAGAGTGAGCATTTATCTGGAGGAGGAGTTTTTCACAGATTCACGTCATGTATAAATCAAGAGTCCCACCATGTTTTACATGACCATGTGGCTGTTCTTTTGCATGCTAGTTCTGGTCTTCTGGTGCATAATTTGCATGAGAGCATCCAGAGGCCAGGGGATGTTGGCAGCTTTCTGGGCAAGGATACTTTCCCAGGTTAGGAGAGATTGCTGTCATCTCTGTGTCCTGGTGGGACCATGTTTCTTGCTGGAGGAGGAGTATGGCTATGGTCTTCCTTGGGAAAGCCTCTGGACAGCTGGTGTGTCAGGGAGGGCTCAAGGATGTTATGTGTGAGAGCCAGGAGAGAGTTAGGCATTTTCAGTTGTCATAAGTGGGGGGAAAAATGTGTCTGAAATAAATCACCCAGGTTTCCTTTAGAAGGCCCATTGAAAGCAGGTGGTGGGCATGGAGGAAAGTGCTGAAATGGTATTGAAGACTCACTCAAATATCAGGCAGGCCTCATGGACAGGCTCTTAGAGTTCCATGGGAGTCAAGGTGTTATGAGTAATCAGTATTTTATTTCTGACCCCAAGTTGTAGGACAGCCACACCTTGATGGCAGCAGCGAGGAGCAGGTGATAGTTGCCAATCCTCCTGATGTTTGCCAGGTAGTGGAGGTGACAACAGAAAGCGATGAACAGCCCCTCAGCATGAGCCAGCTGTACCCCCTACAGATCTCCCCTGTCTCGTCCTATGCAGGTAAGTATCCTGGCCTTTCTTTACACTCTGTTTTTGGAAATGTTTGGAAGACACTGGGGGAAAGGGGGCTTTTTCCAGGGTAGCTGGCAAATGTACAGAAATGTTTCTTCAGCTGTCTTCTGCATTTTTAATGATAGTCAAAGCCTCACAGTCTCATTTCACCTTGGGAAACAACTCAGCAGATCTAGGGCTGGAAATGGAAGCTGCAGATTTTAGCCTGTGACTGATGGAAAAAGATGTAATGCAGAGAGGTCTCTTCATCTTTTATTAGAGGGGCGTTTTCAGTGGTACAAATGATATGCTGCAAATACAGTGTGTCCCTCTTGCCCCCTGACTTACTACAGATTAAGGGTCCTCTTGTCCTCTCTGCTGTGTTTCCTCAGTGGCTAGCACAGTGGGCACAGGGTGCCAAGGGCTGCACTGGTGGTATATAGTGCAGGCGTGGAGCTGAGGGCCCCTGGGGATCCCTGGTGGATCTGTCTTGGTACGAATAGTCTGCAGAGGAGAACAGCCACGTAGCACCTGGTGACAAGTGCTCCTGCAAGCAGCAGAGCTTTGGACATCTGTCTCCCAACGTCTGTCTCCCATCTGGATTCTCTGATACCTAAGAAGGGGTGAGATAACAAGGTTTCTCCCAAGTCAGAGTGCTAATGGTTTCTCTTTTATGCTCTGGCCTCTTATTTTCATAAAACTGGTAGGAAGTTAAGAGTCTTTGGCACTCGTTTATCCCTTATCCAAGTCTGACAGTGTGTTCAGAAGTTGTTAGCAGAGGACAGATGCAAATTCACGTGTGGATGTGCTATATCGAGTCCCTGCACTCCTGTAAGCCTCATTTCTGTAGGAAGGAGGGCAAAGCCATGTTTGAAAGTAGAAGTTTCAGATCCAACATGTCCTTCACTTTTTAAGTCTCAGGAGACTGGGTAGAAACACATCTTTTTAGGCAAACTGAAGTATTGATTGTTCCCCATGCAATTTATTATTTTACAGATGGTTTTACCTTTGACTCATTAGGTTGAAATTACTTCCAGACACATTTTTATAAATTATATATTTAGTAATTTTTATCTTTGGGACTGAGTGAATAGCATGGTGGTCTTTTGAATAGCCTCCAATGTTAGTCTTGCACATGTTGATAAACGATTATGCTTCTCAGTGTGTTTAGTCTGTAATGGCCAAAGCATTTAGAAGGGCTTTGCAGAGCGTAAGGCAGGGGGATGAGGGCGCTTTAACTTATTAGCAGTGGGGAGGTGAGGCCTGTGAAACTTTTGTCCTCTTTCCAAATGCTGCTTGCAAAACTTTTCCTATCTATGTGGACAGGACGATGATGAATTCTTTCAACCTCAGCTACAGGATCTAAGTTCTTGGAATGCAAGCAAAAGTCACTGTCTTTGTCTGGAGGTCATGGTGGTTGCTTGGCCTGGGACTGTGACATGACAAAGTCAAGAGCTACCTTCCCTAAAGTCAATGCAAAAAGCCTGCATGAGGAAAAGGAAGCATGACTGATGTATTTCTGCTGTCCCCTTATGTTGTCTTAGTATCCTGGTGGCCTTCAGCTGTCCTAACTTATACCAGGGCCTGGTAGCCCATAGCTCAGATGACAATTTCATGCCACTGATATGGTTTTGACTATATCTTGAGGCATCTCTTGTTGGTTCTGGTTACTTTAGCTAGAGGCCAGTAAGAAGTGGAGTACTGCAAGGTTCTGTCCAGGGACAAGTCCTGTTTAATACATCAATGAGCAGAAGAGGTATTGGGGTACATCCTTGCAAAGTTTACAGGTGACACCAAATAGGGAAACCAGTCAATGTACTTGAGGGTAGGGCAACCATCCAGAGAGGCCTGGAGATACTGTAGGAATGGCCCAGCAGAAACCTTATGAAATTCAGTGAGGACAGATGCCAAGTGCTGTGCCTGGGAAGGAGGAGCTCTTTGCAGGGATAGAGTCTGGGGCTGATGGCATAGGGAGCAGCTCTGCAGAAAGGCGTGTGGGCAGTGAGCTGAATGTGAGACAGCAGAGAACTATGCCCACAGAGAAAGCCACCAGCTTTCAGGAGCATGGCCAGCAGATCTAGGGGATTGATTATCCCCCTCTATTCAGTGCTAGTTACACTGCTTCTGGAGTACTAGGTCCAGTTTTGAGCCCCCTGGTCCAAGAAAGATACAAACAAATGGGACCAAGTGCAGGTGAGGGATACCAGAATAAACAAGGACTGGAGTACTCACTCTTTGAGGAGATACTGAGGGACTAGTGCTTGTTCAGCCTGGAGAAGAAATGGTTTTGAGGACCTCATAGAAGCCTGCCTCTACCTGCAGGTTTGTTATTAGGAAGGCAGAGCCAGACTCTTCACAGTGGTTTGTGCTGGGAGGATGAGAAACAGCAGGCATAAATTGAAACGAGAACTTGGTCCAGCTAGATGTAAGAAAAGCACCACCTTTTCCACCACAAGGACAGCCAGGCAATGGAGCAGGATGCCAAGAAAGATTGTGCAGCCTCCATCCTCCGAGGTTTTCAAGACCTGACGGGATAAGGTCCCGAACAACCTGATCCAGTCCTGTAGCTGGCCTTGCTTTGAGCAAGAGGCTGGACTATAGACCTCTTGAGGTCCCTTCCAGCCTGAATTATTCTCTGAACCTCTTTTTTAAAACCACGCATTTGCTCGTGAGGCAGGAGTGAGGACAGAAGCCTGTGGTTTGTTAGAACCCTGAAACTTGTAGGACACTCTTGTGACTGTTTCTGGTTTTGCCTTTCTCTACACAAACCTGTACAGTAGAACCACAAAAGCCCTGGCCTTTGCTCATGTTTTTGCTGGGAAGAGCTGCCTGCTCTGTGAGGTACTACCACTGAATGGTGGGAAGGAGTATGCCCATAAGAGCTGTGCAGGGACAGTTAGTTTAGCTCTTCTCAAACAACAACAACAAAAAAGTAATCTGAGGTATCAGCTGTCCTACAAAAATCTCTTTTATTTCAAAAACACCTCCAGTTCCTTTCTGAGGTTATTCAGGCAAATGATATGAGTGGCCTTTGTGAGTTTTCTCATATTTCCATTGACATCTATGAAATCAATTTTTTTTAGTACCAGCAGTGTTGCCAGTCTCCTCTTATGTTAGACACTGATTGAAATAACCTTCTTGATTGGAATAACCTCTCTAAGTTTCCATGCCCGAGTGGCTAGTTTCCCTGGCCTTGCTAACTATAGTGCTATTGCTTGCTCAGCATTTTGTTATGTATAAACACCAAGGATGGATTCCTTTTCGGCTGCATCACTCTTTTTTTGTTGCCACATGTTTCTTCATGTCAAGGAATATCTGTTTCTTGTCTCTGTGTGAATTTCTGCTATTGATTCTATCTGCAGGGCCGTTTCTCCTTTGCACAGATAAATTTGTGCCTCCCCCCTCCCCAGGATGGCTTGATTAGCCCACCTAATCACACTGGCACACCCCTCTCTGCCTGGGCCGGTGGGTGAGAAGCCATGCAGAGTGGTAACTCCACAGGGCCTCAGCTGGGTGTCCTGTCTGAGGCTGCTCAGGAGTGGAGATGGGCGTAGGGTGGCGCTGGCTCTGGGGGTCGTAGTCTGAAGCAGCTGAGCTGTCTGATTCCTTGCTTCAGAAGGACTGGGTAGTTTAGGTCCTGGAGTGTAAAAGAGCTGGTCAGACTATGGGTTTACAGCCTCTGCCTAAACCTAATGCTTAGCCAAGCCTCAGGAGAAGGGCAAGGTGCTGCCAGTCTCTGAAGACGCACAGGGGTACGACCGGGCGGCACAGTCCGTGCACCTTTGGCACTAATGTTGTGTCCAGTGCCGAGCACGAGGCCGCTCTCTGGGCAGGCAGGATCGTAGCTCCAGGTCGCAGGGGTGGAAGGGCTGTACAAAGCAATCCGTGTGGGTTAAAATGCACAACACGAAGCAGAGAGGGGAAACTGTGACTTGAGAGCTCCCTTGCCTGCTACTGTAACTCAATATTCCTCCAATCGTGTAATTTCTGTGTTCCCATTGGCTCAGGGCATGGATGAGCCCTATCTGCTCAGCCCCGGGGGTGGGGTGGGGAAAGACCCCTTCCAAATGCTATTGGTAGCCTGGAGAGCTGTGCTGGACCTGCACCCCTGTGTTTGTACTCTGGCTGAAGTGATGAGGGTGAGGGAGTCCTTGTGCGGTGGGGGAAGGTGATGAGGCTGGAGATAACAGCATTTCTGTTTGCTTGAGCAGTGGGTAAAAGGTTAAGAAATAAGCTGGGGGGAGCTAGGCAAGGGTGGCAAAAGCAAAAGGAGAGCAAAGTATAACAACTACTGTTACGCCAGAAGTGACAACAAGCCCTTGAGGCAGGAGGCTGAGATAACAGTTCATGAAGCAAAACACACTTATCTGCTCTGAGGTGGAGTCATTGCTCATTTTGCAGGGAGATAAAAGTAATAAGCATTTGGACAGAACTTTGCTCTTTGCCAGGCCTGGAGCTGCCAAGAGAGGGTGAGGGAGAGGGGTCATCCCCTACTTGCGAGAGGCTCTTTCCTCTGTCCAGAAAGCAAAATGTACTTCTTTCCTCTTTGTTGCTGTGTTCTCCGGGGTATAGCTGTGTTCCCTGTGATAACCTTGTGCATTTACCCTGGCTGTTCAATGTGGCTGTGTTATCTAGCCCTTGGAATGCTATTGCTGTGGCAGGGGTCCATGTGTCTCTGTTTTCTGGTTGTTTGTCTGGACTCTGCTTCCATTTGTTGGAAGTCGATCAGGCCTCTTGAACGGGATTTTGCTACTTTAGATAGGATAGCTTGAGTTTCATTTTTGTTTCTGTTTTGTTTGCCAGAAAGTGAAACGACCGACAGTGTTCCAAGCGATGAAGAAAATGCAGAGGTAAGTGTTTTCTGGATTTTTAGCACTTTGGATCAAGGTCTCAAGAACAATGTCTGAGGTATTCTTCTCCAGTCTCCATTTGCTACTCTGTCTACCAGTGGAATATTCCTTTTAGTAATAGCTGGGGAAGAAAAACAAACCAGGAAGGTTCAAGGGAGACAGACATTTGGATGATTGTTGCAGGATAGATATTTCTGTAAGTTCTTTTCTCCTCGTCTGTTCAAACTACAAGTAGATTAATTAGAATAAAATGTCCTGGAGAGACATCAGCAGTACCAGCTGGGTTGTTAATGTGATGCATTGACATTGCTGGGTAGTGAGTATTTTATCTTGGCTGAAAGCATGCTCACTTTGTTTTCCTTAAGTGGCACCTGAACTCATACAATTGAAGGAAATGCTTACACATATGATAGAAATGCAACTTGAATGTTTGAGGTAGGTGAGGCAAAAAGCTTTCCTGGCCAGTCAGCTGGGTATTGCTGGGTGAAATGAATCCGTGGAGAAAATACCCACCTCCTAACTGTTTCCTGAGCTGTACCTATGCAAAACCAGCACCCGCCTTTTCTTTTGGGGTTGCCATCAAGTGACCAGACCTACCAGTCTCCATGAGTACTTAAGAGGCCAGGGGAAGCTCTCTGGGAGCACTTAGATGCCCTACACTCCAGCTGCATTTTTGCAGAAGGCCTCTTGCAAATCCCTCTGCTGCTGTGCCCTCCAGAAAGCCCTCTGAGTCCTCCTTGGAGGACTGCAGGTTGTGCTGCTGTATCACGGCACAGCTGACCCTCTTGGTTTTGTCTCTTGTGCCTTGGTTAGGGTGGAGCCTGTACGTGGGCTGCCAGCGACAACTCCCCAGACCTCCTCTGACAGAACATGCCATTGTGGCATGGGTGATGGGGAAAGGACTGGATGCCATCTTTCCTTGGTGAACCTCCTCCCTCTGATGAGCGGCACACCATCAAGTGACAGTGGTTTTCCCAGCAGCCTCACCTGTGTTGACAGTTTGGGTGGTGCTGTTTGAGGGGTCTCGGGTCTCTGTGCATCCTTGTTGGGAGGAGGATGCTCTCTTTGGTATTGGGGAAGACACTTCCATTTGGCGCTCTGAGTGTTTGGCTGTGTGTCCATTTTTGTCTCCAGCATACTGGGAATAAGGCCTTTATTTTCTGTCAGAATTGTGGGCAGAGCCTCCTGAGTACTAGAGAGCCACCAAGGTTTAGGCACATGGCTTCAGAAAGAGAGAAGTGGCTGAGAGCAAAGGCATCCAAAGTCAGCAGCTAAAGGTTTGGGCTTTTAGAGATGGGGTGATTCCTGTGCAATTTGTGGATGTTTCTGCCTTCATTTTGTTAGTCAAAGCACTTTGCAGTCACATTCACTCATAGAGCCTTGCCTCCTTTGTCCCCCCCTCTTTTCTAGGGACGAGTTCACTGGCAGAAGAAAAACATTGAAGGCAAACAGTATCTCAGCAATCTGGGAATGAGGAACACTTCTCATATGCTTCCCAGCATGGCAACTTTTGTAGCCAACAAGCCTGACCTCCAAGTCACCATCAAAGAAGAAAGCTGCCCACTGCCTTACAACAGCTCCTGGCCCCCTTTCCCGGACATCCCTCTGCCACAAGTAGTGTCCACAGCCTCCACGAGCAGCAGCCGGCCAGACCGCGAGACACGGGCCAGTGTCATCAAGAAAACATCAGACATCACCCAGTCGAGAGTCAAGAGCTGCTAAGCCTTTGACAGTGTGGTTTTTTAGCTTTGTTTTGTTTGGTTTTGTATTTTACATTTCTCTAGGAGAGGTTCATCCCTTGACGCACACGAGACAAATCTAAGGTAAAACCTTGGCAATATGAAACGTTGCTGTGTCCGACTCCGGCGGCGGAGTGGTTTTAACTCAGGACTCCTGTCACCAGTAAGTACACCTGAACCCAGGCAGGTCTCCAAGGTTGCTGTGGAGGCAGATGACCCAAGAACTCTGGCCCACTCGCAGGTTCCACTGTTTCATAAGAGGACCAACCGACCACAAGGGAAGTGGTGCTGCTGTGCTTCTTGCTGTCAAGGCTGTGATGGAACTGAAAGCCTCCGAATGGAAGAGAAAATGTGAACTAGCTGGAATATTTTTAAATAAAGAGAAATCTATTGTGAATATTGTACATAGTGCAGTACTAGCAACGTTGCAGTCTGCTTCTGCACCTTATTAAGAAAGCACTTACGAAAGGCCTTTTATTACCTTGCTCTACTTAATGGCACATTGAAGGTCCCTCCCCACCTGTATTCTTTTCCAAGGCTATTCTTGCTCTAAAGTGTCTTTGGACTCTACTGTCTAAAGACTCTAAAGTGTCTTTAAAGAATAGAGGAAAAGAAAGGAAGTTAAAACTTCCATATGGATTTCATACATTTTAAGACTGCTTTTCTCATGTTTGTTTCTAATCTGCTATGCTTGAATGCCGCGTGGTACAATAGGGAAAAAAAAAGAAACCTATTACAGAGATATTATGCAAATTCCCAGATTTAAGAAAAAAGAAGAAGAAAAATACTCTAATTCTAACCAGAGCAAGCTTTTTTATTTTTTATACAGGGGAATATTTTATTCAAAGTAAAATTCTAAAGTGAATATAATTTTTTTTAATCTTTTCTACAGCAAATTTATAATTTTAAGATTCAATCCTTGGTTATCCGCAGTTATTACATCCTTGTGGCACATTTTTTTTTTAATTTTGTAAAGGTGAAATAGCTTTTATGAGCTCATGTAGCAATCAGATTATCCTGTGGATTGATAATAAATATGGTATATAGTTAAATTTTTAATAATCCTCTTGTTTGTCTCTCTTTTTTAATCTTTCAGCAGCCCCATATGGCATGGGTTTGATAGGTGAGCGTGACCTCTCAGAGTGAGCCATTAGCATGAGCTGCCTTCACAATTTCTGAAGTACTCCTCTGGCAGGATGGGAAGTACGGTGCTGGAGGCAGCTCGAGGTAGAAAGAGGAACTAGAGTTCAAAGGTGGCATACTCAATTTGGCCTCACATGCAGAGGTTGGGAGATGGAGCATCACTTCTGCTGTTATTCCATGGTTACTCTCTGAGCAAGTCACCTCATGGAAGGGATCTTGTGAAGGTCCGTTGCAAGCACAACACAAGCTCAGCTGTGCTGGGCCCATCCCTCATGGATCTCTGTTTAGCTTGCCTACAGTTTCCTTGTCTGGAAAAGTCTATTACAGAGTTTCAAGCAATAACTCCTCATCCCTGTACTGAATCAGAAGTCAAATAAACAGAGGAAGGCCATGAAGATGGTCAGAGTGCCTCCCCTGTGAGGACAGGCTGAGACAGCTGGGGTTGTTCAGCCTAAAGAAAAGGCTCCAGGGAGACCTTATAGCAGCCTTCCAGTGCTTCAAGAGGGCCTGCAGGAAAGATGGGGAGGGACCCTTTATCTGGGAGTGTAGTGATAGGACAAGGGGTAACAGTTTCAAACTGAAAAAGGGCAGATTTAGGTTAGATATTAGGAGGAAATTCTTCGCTGTGAGGGGGGTGAGACACTGGAGCAGGTTGCCCAGAGGAGCTGTGGATGTCACCTCCCTGGAAGTGTTCAAGGACAGGCTGGATGGTGTTTTGAGCTACCTGATCTAGTGGAAGTTATCTTTGCCGATGGCAGGGGAGCTGGAACTAAATGATCTTTAAGGTCCCTTCCAAACCAAACCATTCTGTGATTCCCAAGGCTTTCAATGTCTGCCACATGATGGCAGGTTCCAATTCATAGAATCATAGAATAGTTTTGGTTGGAAAAGACTTTTAAGGTCATCGAGACCAACCGTTAACCTAACACTGCCAGCCCAACACTAAACCACGTCCCTGAGCAACTAATTTACGTGTCCTTTAGATACCTCCAGGGAGGGTGACTCCACCACTTCCAATGCTTAACAATCCTTTCAGTGAAGAAGTTTTTCCTAATACCCAATCTAAACCTCCTCTGGTGCAACCTGGGGCCATTTCCTCTTGTCGTATCACTTGTTACTTGGGAGAAGAGACCGACCCCCGTCTCAGTACAGCCTCCTTTCACACAGTTGGAGCAAGAGATGGGGTCTTCCCTGAGCCTCCTTTCCTCCAGGCTAAAGAACCCCAGTTCCCATGGCTGCTCCTCATAAGACTTGTTCTCTAGACCTTTCACCAGCTTTGTTGCCCTTCCTCTATGTCTTTCAAGGAAGCTGTTGAGGATCTGATTCAGGGTGGGCAGTGCCCTGCAGAGCTGTGTGATGGTGGGGGACAGGCTGTTTCAGAGACTCAGTGAAGTGCTCTGCACTTTGGGCTGTAATTGGCACGGGCAGAAGTTGAGGGCACTTAACCCTCTTGCAGCTTTTTAAGGTGTTGGGAGTTACACAGATTGAGTCAGGTTTATAAAACACGTGGGCACACAGTGTCCTTCAGGTGTGATTACCAGTCTAATACCAACCCAAAAGATAGCTAAGTGCCATGTGTATTGGGCTGATGAGCAGTAATGTACACAAAAATGACTGTATCACAGGGAGCTGTGCTAATTGGCTATTGAAGAGGGAAAGCACACAGTAGGATTTTGCTATGCTCTTAACCTGATACCACGATTCTAAATTTCATCACAAGTCCGTGTGAAACTTGCAATTTTGTCTTGCCAACCCACTGCCTGGTGGCCTGGGAAGACAAGGTTAGAACTTTGGTTAGGGTTGGGAGGAGGAGGAAGCATCAAGCAGTATTTGAAGTGATGCTGAAAACTCACAGTGGTTGAGATCATCTTAGGCAACCCTTCTGGACTCTATCCCTTTCATCTGGTTGTGCCTTTACTCTTCCAGTAGCCCTCTGGGTCTAGAGGCCACAAGGTTTGGTCTTCCTCAAGGAGGTTGTATTCATGCATGTGTGTGAGGGGTTGTTGCAGTGAGTGTCTGACATCCCAGGTTCTTTGCTAGCGGTGTTACAAGGCTCACGGCAGGTTTCTTGGTTTTGAGAGTCACTTGGGATTATTTTTATACTTCCTTCACACAGGGTACTTTGGGTTTTGGAATTTTGACCAACTTCCCAGTTAAATTTTGGAAGTTGCTCTGTAGCATCTTCTAGCCCCTTTGAAGATGATGCGCTCTTGCTGTTAGGGAGGGACCTCATAGACAAGCTGGGGCTGGAAGGGACCCCTGGGACACATTGCATCCAACCTTCTGTTGAAAGCAGCATCTTAGAGTAGGTTATCCAGGGCCCTATCACACCAACTCTTCAATATTTCCATCAAGGAAATTCTCATCCAGGCTTCATGAATCTCTTTCTACCAGCCTTTCTTACTGTGGCAAGTTCCCTGCCCTGCGGCTGGCTCTCAGGGCAATGTTGTTGGGGCTGGGAGCTGCAGATGGAGAGTGGTTGGAAAGGGGCTGTCTGGGGAGACTTGGGGCTAGGATAAGAGTCACCTCCTGATGACTTTTCATTGTGGGGAAGGAAGAGTTGGGTTAGGTAGAAGAGAAAGCCCAGAGCTGCAGTTGGGAAGGGGCTGCCAAACTCAGCGGAGGGCTGATGCTCTACCCCTCCTCTTAGGAAGGCTTGTTTTTGAAAGGAAGAGCTGCAGTGTCGGGGCTGAGGGAAAGGGAAGGTTCAGTTGTGTGGGGCTGGAAAGTGTCACACTTAATATAAATGAAGCACTGGTGCGTATCTTCTCCTCCAAGGAGTATTTAGTCTGGGGATGGGGAGAGGCTCTTGCCTCTGGCACAGCCTGGGTTTAGCACTATGAGTTAAGGCTGACAGAAAGCCCAGAGGTAGGGTCGTGTGGCGGCTGGAAAGCATCTTCCAAAGTAAACAGAGCTGACCCGAGGCTTTTGCTTTTCTGGAAGCAGGGCTGCTGTGTTCCTCTGCAGTGGCCTGTGCTTGCTGTTCAGGCTGACAGCTCTGCAGGCCTCCAGGCAAGCGGCTGTGGCCAACGTATTCCATGCTGCCAGGCAGTGGGCTTTCCTCCTCCATAGCAGCAGTCTGAATTCCCTGCCCCTCACCCACAGCACTGAGGAAGCATCTCACAGGCATTGTAACCTTCTTGCAAAGCCCCTTTTTATGTCTGACCTACTTGTACAAGTGCTCCCTGACCTCAGTCCGGTGTGTCCATCTGAGAGGGAGAACACACTTTGCCCTTTTAAGGCAAAACATTTGGGCTTTCTCAGTCCTGGAGGATCACTCAGATGCCTATATGGAAGCTGGTGTCCAGCAGGGCTGCTGAGGAGGAGTGAGATCTGAGCTGGCCTTTTCTGTGTGTCCTGCGTGACTTTGGGTGAGAGCCTGCCTCCTGCAAGCCCTGCTGGTCACTGAGATGAGGAGGTGGGTGCCCAAGGGCTGCCTGAGTGTTTCTAGGTATAGAAATGCTTGTCTGCAAAGGAAGCTGTCACTTGCCAGGAGAAAGATTTGCTACTCTTGGCATCATCCATCTGAAACTTCGGAGTAGCTGACGGGGAAGGGCAGGCGGCTCCGGTGCTGGACTGGTGCGTGTACCTTTACGTAGCTAAAATGAGTTGTGTGGCCACGTGTCACCCCTGGTCCCTCTACATGGGAGCCAGTGCCAGGTCAGGTAGTTGGGCGTGCTCTCCCCTTGGTGCAGTGAGAAAGGCAGCTGAGCTGCAGAAGCATGACCCCCCTGCTCTGGTGGCTGTGCAGTAGGAGACACACACATACCTCTGGGAGTGGCAGGCGTGCTTGGTGCATTCCCCGTTTCCCAGGGCTTATGTGTTTGAAGCTCTTCCAGGAGGTATCCAAGCACAGGAGTTACAGTATGTATCCATAACACTGCTCCATCAAAGAGAACATCCACCACACAAAGCTGATGATGCCTCTGCAACTTGCTCAGGCCAAAAGCAGTTGCCCAACCACAGGGTGACGTAAATGCAAAGGATTTCTTCAGGCTGAAACATCAGACGTTTATTCTGAAATGCAATGTTTGATTACATTTGCTATCCACGCTTGCAAAACTATGCAAAGTTGTAAAAAAACGTCCAGCCTTTAGTAGTGCAAGCACCAGTTCTGCTCTGAGACACTGGAAACCAGATGCCTGCCCATTAGCACTAAAAGTAATACCAAGTTAATCTCGTTGTGTGATATGGTGACGTGGTTGGCAAGTGAGCCTGCAGAAATCTTCACGAGTGGAGGCTGGGAGGGAGGTGATGGCTAGGCTCTGACTGTGCTCTGACAGCTCAAGCAGTCCCCTTTGGGGGAGCTCAGCAGGCAAGAAACCATGATACCTAGGTCTCTGGCAAAGTCTGATCCCCTCAAAAGGACTG